CCATCGTGACGGGCGGTTACTTCCGAGTCGTACTCATTACGATTAGTCTCCTGTAATATCCGGCGGTCACGCAGATACAGGTGAGTCGCGCACCCAATCCAAAATGGATTGATCTAGCATCGGTGACAATGTTTTCCTGCAGCCATCGGCAACCAAAAGTAAAAAATTTACTGAGTCACTCATGCGCTCAATAAAGTTTAGGGCGCGCTAATACCCTATTGTTCAATCAGCCAGGTGCTTCAACCCTGGCTGCATATTAGAATCACCTGGGAATCTTTTTAAAATCCTGATTTCTGGGCCTCATCCTCCGGAAATTCTGTTCCTTTGTTATGGGGTGAGGCCACAACATTAGTAACAAAGAAACAATTTCCGGAGGATGAGGCCCAGAAATCAGGATTTTAAAAAGATTCCCAGGTGATTCTAATGTGCAGCCAAGGTTGAGAACCACTGTTTATAGCATTGACTTTGCATTGCTATGCCCATCACCCTATTCTTCCAGGATTGCTTGTTACATGCTTAGTGCGATTTCCTTTTTGCCTCCTTTCTTACTGCCTACCTTTTCTTCCCACTTTTATTTTTACTTTTTTTGATTACAGTTGACATTCAATATTATATTAGTTTCAGGTGCATAATGGTGAGACTTATATAACGTATGAAGTGGTCCCCCTGATACATTTAGTACCCACCTGGCACCATACATAGCTATTACGATATTATTGACTCTATTCCATGTGCTGTACTTTACATCCCCATGACTATTCTGTAACTACCAGTTTGTACTTCTTAATCCCTGTCCCTTTTCCACCCACCCCCAACCCCGCTCCCATTGGGCAACCATCAGTCTGTTCTCTGTATCTATGAGTCTGTTTTCTGTTTTGTTTGTTCATGTATTTTTGTTTTTTAGTTTCCACATATAAGTGAAATCACATGGTAATTGTCTTTCTCTGTTGGACTTATTTCACTTCATGTAAGAATTTGTCCTTATTTTCACCACCAGTGGAGGGAAAGGAACAATACTTGAAACTTTAAATGAGTCAGTTTTAAAATTGTGTTTTTAAACTAGTTGTGAATGTCATTATTCTAGGCATTTTTTCACCTCTTCTGTAATTAAGAGTTTACTATATTCAAATTTAGATTTTTTTGATATTTTGTTTATTCTTATTATTAATTTTAGTCTACTTTATCATAACTCAAATATTAAGGATAGGATGCTTCTAATGAGAATTTGTTATCTGTTAAGCAGTAAATGGATAGTAAAACTCTTAATTATTGTAAGTCTTTTATGTAATCTATTAAGAACACTTTTTCAAAAACCAATTTTCTAATTATAAGACTGATACATTATAGGAAATTCAGAAAAGCAAAAATAAACAAAAACTTTACAAAACATTAATTACATATCATCCCATCCCTCAGAAATAACTTCTCTTCACTTTTCAGTGAATTTCTTTCCATTTTCCAAGATATATCCTCACATACTTAAAAATAAATTGGATCATTATTTTGTAATATAATTTTAATTCAGTAATGTATCTCTCTGAGCTTCCATATTTTTATTTGTAAAACGGGGATGAAATATGCACTGTATGGAGTTCTTGTGAGAATTAAATTGTGTAATGTGTTCATTAACAGTGCCTGGCACATACAATGCACCCAGTAATGGAAGCTAATAGTAATAATAGTCATGGAAATAAGCCATTTCTAGAAGTGTAATTTCTAGGGGAAAGGATATTAATGTTTTCAAGGCTGTTGATAGAATTGCTAAATTTCTTTTTGAACTATGCTTCCAATTTTCTCCTACCAGCAGTGTATAAGAGTACTTTTCGCCTTGTAGCTATAATTAACTTTGGTTATCATAATCTTTAAACCTTTGCCAACTTGAAGGCACAAATTTGTATATCTTTAAAATTTTTTCATTTTGAAGAAATACTAAAGAATTTATCTTTTTTTCATATAGGCATTGGCTGTTTGTGTTTCTTTCTTGTGAATATCCTATTCATGTCTTCGGAGAAAGTTCAGACTTAAGAGTAACTAATAAAACTATTGCTTTTATCTAAGCTGGAACAATTGGATGATACTCTATTTTAAGTTTCAATACAACATATATTTTTCATTCTTTAAGTATATATATATATATACATATATATATATATATATATATATATATATATATATATATATATATAATTGATTTCAGAGAGGAAGGGAGAGAGAGAGATAGAAACAAAAGTGGTGAGAGAGAGGCCGAAACCGGTTTGGCTCAGTGGATAGAGCGTCGGCCTGTGGACTGAAAGGTCCCAGGTTCGATTCCGGTCAAGGGCATGTACCTGGGTTGCGGGCACATCCCCAGTAGTAGATGTGCAGGAGGCAGCTGATCGATGTTTCTCTCTCATCGATGTTTCTAACTCTCTATCTCTCTCCCTTCCTCTCTGTAAAAAATCAATAAAAATATATTTTAAAAAAAGTGGTGAGAGAGAATCATCAATTAGCTGCCTCCTGCATGCCCCACACTGGGGATCGAGCTGACAACCTGGAATCGAACGCAAGGGCCCTGACTGGGAATCGAACCATGACCTCCTGGTTTATGGGTCGAAGCTCAACCACTGAGCCATGTTGGCCAGGCTATACTTTTCATTCTTGATAGCTAAATCATTAGCATATAAATGTCCCAAATTTAGGAAGGATATTAAGGGAAGTTCTAATACTATTCTGTAGAGGTATAATCACATCTTGCTTTTCAATTGTCTGCAATTGTTTTTGTTTCAGAAAAGCACAGGTCGACCACATATAATCCAGAAAACCTTGGCAGGACAATATTCTAAGCAAATGAAGAATCTCAGTAAGTTTTAATTCAAGTAGCCGTTCTATTTTGTGTGATAGGAACTAGAACTTGGTGGAACTAGGTAGACAGGCAGGCTTGCTGGGAGGCAGAGCTGACTTGAGATCTGGAGTGAGCAGTGTGGTGGGCTGTGGAGAGAACGGTGGCTTTCATGTAATGAGAGGTGGATAGTTGTTTTCGATGGAGAGACTGAAAAATGAAGCCTGGGAATAAAGCGGTGTTAGGAACCAGAGAGTAAGGCCAAATTTAAGAGTGATTTACAGTGAGGTTCATGCTTAAATTTCCCTGGCAGTTTACTGCTCTTCAGCGAACTTGCATTGTCTCTCCTTTATGTCTCTCTCTGAGGCATCTTAAGCATGCTGATTTGCAAAAGCTTCTTTTGGATTATTGCAGTACGTGATGTTACTACTTCTGTATCCTGATGCCAAAAGTCTTTAATAATTTATGCAAAAGCTTATGACATACATTATTATTATTATTTTATTTAATCCTCACCCAAGGATATGTTTTTTAATTGATTTGAGAGAGAGAGAGAGAGAGAGAGAGAGAGAGGGGATACCATCAATGTGAGAGAAAAACTTCGATGCATTGCTTCCCGTATGCTCCCTGACTGGGAATCGAACTCTCAACTTTTTGGTGTACGGGACAATGCTCCAACTGACTGAGCCACCCAGCAAGGAAATGGCATACATTATTTTTAATTCTAAAATGAATTATATACTTAATATATACTAAACTGTAGAATACTCTTAAGCTTTCAGAAATTGAAGGTCAGGTGGTTGTAGGTCAAATATGCATATTCTAATGAGTCTTGAAAAACTCATTATGTTATTGGTGATATTTGGAAGAAAATTATGTTTGAATTACATTATGATTTATTAATTAAAAATTGAAATATATTTGTGACTGTGAGAATATGAAGTGTTTATTGATTGGCATGCATTTTCCACCTTCATTTTGATTTTAGATGAAATTGCTCTCCAGACTGCTTTACCTTCATATAATATTTGAAAAACATACTGTCATTGAAGTACAGTCAAGCATAAGTTCTGGTATTCCTTTTTTTTATTTTTTATTCAGGTGTGGAAAGCAGTGATCAGTGGCCCTTTCTATCTGAATTACAGTGGTTGAAAAGGAGAAGGAAGAGAGCAGTGAATGTGAGTGTGGTATTAAGCCACAGGTGGGGCCATTTGACTCCGTTAAATTGTTGCCTGTCATCATACAGTATTTCAGTGTACCTAACACACTTGGGATTTGGGCAGCTTCCTCTGACACACAAAAACAACAAACCCATACCCTCCCAAACCCCTATAAGTTGAGTCTATAGGCATATTGCTTTTTATTCATCTTTCCCTATCTATCTATATTTTATATATATGGAGAGAGAGAGAGAGAGAGAGAGAGAGAGAGAGAGAGAGAAGAGAGAACTATGCTAATTAACCGGGACACTGTAACGGGTCGACTGGACAGGACAGGAGGAGGTTTCGCATGCAGCGTTGGGGGCAGGGCGGCAGGGGCCTCCGTGCCTGCGCTGGGGGAGGGCCTGATCACCAAGGGCTATGGCTGCTTCAAGGGCCGGAGAGCAAGGCAGGGCCCGACCAGCGACTGGAGGGTGGGCGGCGCTGTGTGATTTCGAATCGCTCGCTGAACTCCTAGTTAACAATAATAAACTGATTCCAGTGTTCTGTGAGCCCTAGTGGTCACATAAGGAATGTGTTATTTTTGCTCTGTTTTTAAATGAAAATTGCAGTGCATTTTTTTTTCTATTGAAAATATAGCTGACTTTTAAAAATATGTCTTGTATAGCATCATATAAAACATTTCTGTTAACAAGAGAAATAGGGGAACGAGTTAGGTTTTAAAATGTTGGCTAATCATGCTTATTTTTATTTCTTTCAAATTAAAAACTCTGTTATACCAAACTTTGAAGCTGGATGTGTTTTTCTGAACAGAATGAATCTACTTGACCATTAGTATTATGATAGTTGCTAAATAAGAATCGTGTAATTATATAATCAACAATTGTCTTTTGGCTCCCATGTATTGATACTTGTATAGGGGCTTTGTAACTGAAATTATGTTCCTGGTCTTTTTCATAATAGATTAGGAAGCTGTAATGATCGGGACTGTCTCGTAATTACATGGTGAATGCTATGTAACCGAGAATTAATTCCACAGCATATAGATTACATGGTAATTTACTAGATAACTTAATAAGTAATTATGCTGGAAATTGTACATTTTAGATAAGGTTTTGGTGAATGTATTTTTGTGTGTGAAAAAATTAGACCTCCAGCCATCAAAAACTTAGTTGTAGGTGAAATCATCCTCTTTTTTGTGGTCCTGTTTTTGTATTATGGTGATTATGGATACAGGTGTGTTTTTTTCTCTTTTTTTTTCAAATTAGAGATATGTTTTTGCTTACTCTTAAAGATGTGGTTGGTAATAATAAGTTTTACATAGGCTAATGACATTTCACTAAAGTCCACCCCTACCAAATGTAAAATGATCAGTGACCTTGTAGTTTTCTACTATGAAAAAGAAGTCCAACATAATGGCTAACATATTTAGCCCTTGCTCTTAATGGATTATCTAGTAATAATAAAAATCTGGAAGAATTTAGAATATTGTAATTATTAGTATTTGTTCCTGTGAGAAGTTGTGTGTTTAAGAATTAGTACATTATTATTAAATTTCACTCCGCTGAGTTCAGGTTTCTGTTTTACTACATTGGTACCTTTTCTCAATGAGCTCTACTATTCTTGGATAGGTTTTCCTTGAACTTTTAATAGATGTGAATTTTTATCACATCTTAATTGAGATTATTTACTTTTACAGAATTATACTGTATATTTTTCTCTAGGATATTTTTACATATAAAACAATATAAAAACAACATGGGGCTCTGTTCTCTGTCTTAATGAGTACTTTAATAATAGTTAAATATTGTTCTTTTCTGAATATTTGAATGTTCACTCACACCTTATGGTCACTTTTTTTTCTATTTTTCTGAGCAAGTTTCTTCAAGGGTGTTTATAAAATAGGCAGCAAAGAGTTCTTCTGAAATTCAAAATCAATCTACGACTAAGCAGTCATCCTCAGAGAAGGTGCTATTATCTCTGACCATACATTTTTATATTCCACAGCCATCTCGTGGTGTGTTTGAAGAAATGAAATATTTGGAACTTATGATTGTTAATGATCACAAAACGGTAAGAGTATAGAACCAATGGGTTTTGAACCCAGCAGCTTATTTGAGAAAGAGTACACTTCACTTTATATTCAATTATTATTTGTTACTTTTTTAAAGCAAGATACTTAGATGTTTTATTTTTTGGAAATATTAAACCATTTCATTTATTTTATGGTGTTTGGGAACACTGGGTTTTATAGAAATTTCAGAAGTCTCAACTTTCTCTGTTTAATAATGATTGTAATGGATGGATTTAACTGTGTGGCATTTTTCACTTATCTTCATTTAAAATTCTTATTCTCTACTTTTCTCCATCTATGTATGTGGTCACTGCTTTCTAATTTTATTCCATGTCTTTGCTCTGCTAGCATGTTATTTTTCCTTACTAATTAGTATTTTTTGTTGCAGATATAATTATAGGAGATAAGCATATGTAATAAAGATATACCCAAAGAGACTATCTTTAACTGATTATTTAAATACTAGAAAGATGAAGGTCAAAGTAAAATGTGATTCAATGTGGTTTTAAGTAACACCTAAAAGATATATGAAAAGATATATGAAAAAAGATATATAAAGATAGTTATTACTCTCTATTGACTTCTCACAAAGATAAAGTAGAAACTTTCTTAACCATATTCTACTTGTCCATTTCTCTCTCTCTTACCTTCACACAAGAATATGTTTTTCATTGATTCTAGAGAGAGAGAAGAAGGGAGAGAGAGAGAGAGAGAGAGAGAGAGAGAGAGAGAGAGAGAGAGAGAGAAACATCGATGTGAGAGAAAAACACAGATCGGTTGCCTGCCATACTCTCCCCAAACAAGATCGAACCTGAAGCCTGGAAAGGTGCTCTGACTGGGAATCGAATCCAAGACCCAATGGTATGGGACGATGCTCTAACCAACTGAGCCACACTGGACAGGGCTTAACCATTTCTCTTATAAAATATCTTGGCTGAAGCTTAGAGCATTGATCACTAGGCTATTTGTTAGTATACCCAATAATTTTGGCATGTTGGTAAATGTTTAACACCTGGCTCTTTGGGAAAAAAAAAGCCTGATTTAAAAAACTGAACTAGAATAATTTACATCTGTTTTTCAATATCTGGAGATTTGCTATTGAGTTTTGGAATAATGATCCCACTAAGAGCACTCATCTTATAATCTTTGTGCTAGATGAGGCAGCACAGTTATGTTGATACCTGTCACCCTTAGGTTGAAAATCAAGCTCTAATTTTTTTAGAAAACAAACTTCTTAAGGATTGTATTTGTTTATGAAGAAAAGGCAAATTTGGCACTTTAAATGTTAATTATTTTCAGTAATCAGAACATGTGAAAGTAAGTTTTATCATAAATGGAGATTGAACATTTTTCTTAGTATATGAAATTAGTTCTCATTCATGCAAGGAAATAGAAATATTGCGCTACATTACATTCAAGGTTACTTTTTTAATGCAGAGTAACCTAATATTGGCTTCCTGAAAAAAAATGCCCATATCTTATTTTGAACAAGCATCATATCAGTGGATTTCATTAGACAAAAAAAAAAAATCCCTCAATTTTGTAGAAGCATCTTAGTAGCTGGCTGGTGGAACCTAATTTGTGAGCCAATTATAGCCTTGATAAGGGTCGGCAAACATTTCTTTGAGCCAGTAATCTAAACATAAATATTAAAAACCATATTCTAATTGAAAAATGGTTGAAATACTTTAAAGTGCATGAAAAATGTTTTGCTTACACTTATTGCTCTATTCTTATGTGTACATCAGTAAGTGAAAATGTAATAGCTCAAATATTTTTCAATTTAAACCTCATTTGGTTTTTCTTATTTAAAAGCTATTGTTATTTATTTATTTTATTTTTATTTTTAAATTACAGTTTACATTCAATATTATTCTCTATTAGTTTTAGATGTAAAACAGAGTGAAAAACCACTATAATTTATAGGTACCTAATAAATTAAGAGTTCTTATTAATAATCATGATTTATTAGGAATATACATAAACTCTTTTATAAGAATTATTAACTGAACAAGTTTATTTCCTATCTCAACCCAGACTAGCCATTGAATTCCAGTTGTGTGATCGTGGCTATTTTTATTTGTCCTCTCTGAGCCTCACTTTCCACATTTATAAAATGGGGATAATAAAATCCACCTCATAGAGTTGTGAGGAACAAATATTTCTTGTAAGAGAAAGACTTACCATAGATCCTAGTACATGCTAGGTGGTTAATTAACTGAAAGTTCAAGTGAACAAACCCTAGAGCTCACTGTGTCCTTATCTTACTTGCCCACTCTCTCAGCAGCACTGGACACAATTGATTATTCTCTCCTGTTTGAAACATTTTCTTCATCTCTAAGCTTCTGTGACACAACGGCTCTCCCACTTCACCAGCCATTTCTTCTTAGTCTCTTACATCTGACCTCTAGAATTATAAGAATGCCCTACAGCTTGGCTTGGGGCTCTCTTTTCTTTCGATAACTCTCCCCCAAAATGACCACTTCCAGTCTCAAGTCTTCAAATAATATCATGACTTAAATTCATCACTCTTTATACCTCTTACCTTCTGAGTTCCATAGTTACATATTCAACTGCTTACTTGACATCTGTACTTCAATATTGAATAGGCATCTCACTTTAACATTTCTAAATCAGAACCCTTGGTTCCTGGGTCCTAAACATCTTTTTTTTTAAATATATTTTTTATTGTTGATAGTATTACAGATATCTCCCATTTCCCTCCCCTTTACCCCCTCCTCCCAACCCCTACTCACCCCCCTTCCAGGTCTTCACTACCCTATTGCCCATGTCCATGCACTATGCATATAAGTGTATAAGTTCTTATAATTGAGGTCCTTGAGTTTAAAGTGAGGTCCGTAACTTCTTTTCTCTTAGTGTCTCTCATTATTTTAGATGGCACTACCATCCCCCCAGCTATTCAAGTTCAAAACCTAGGAGACATCTTTTTATTCTCTTTTCTCACCTTTCACAGTCTCTATAAATGTCCAGCCTTTGTTATCTGTTACCTGGACTATTGTAATAATTTCTCAACAGGTCTCTGTTTCCATTTTTGAACTTATCTAATTCACTCAACTCATAGCAAGCAGAGTGATCTTTCTAAAAGGAAAATCAGAGACTTGAAAATTACAAACATGAAATAAATGAAAATCTCATCACATTTTGATAGACTTAAAAAGACTTTTATTTTACAACTTGCGTGTCATATTTCTCTTGACCATTATACTATAAAAAGAGGTTTCCAAAAAGGACAAATTAATATTCAGAAGGAAAATAAAATGTACCTTAATAGGTGTGTAACACCATTGCATAGAGGAGGTGTCAGCTAGTATTTTTCCTTTTTGTGACGTGTGCTTCCTAATGCCAAAGCTTTTTGTTAAAGTTTACGATTCAGTAATATTTAGTACCTTTACTAAGTGGTGGACCATTGTCTCTATCTAATTCCAAACATTTTCATCACCCCAAAGAGACTTTTGCTTTTTACTTTTAAAGATAGGCAACAAGCCCTAACCAGTTTGGCTCAGTGGATGGAGCGTCGGCCTGCAGACTGAAAAGTCCCAGGTTCGATTCCAGTCAAGGGCATGTACCTTGGTTGCGGGCACATCCCCAGTGGGGGGTGTGCAGGAGGCAGCTGATCGATGTTTTTCTCTCATTGATGTTTCTAACTCTCTATCCCTCTCCCTTCCTCTCTGTAAAAAATCAATAAAATATATTTTTAAAAAAGATAGGCAACAAGTATCACATGATCTTACTCAAATGTGGAATCTAATAAACAAAATAAAATGATGAACAAAATAGGCCCAGAGACATAGAAGCATGGAACAGACTGATGAATCTCAGAGGGAAGGCGGGGGGGAGTGGGTGGGGAGAGTGAGAATAGACCAATCAAAGAACTTGTACGCATATATGCATAATCCATGGATACAGACAGTAGGGTAGTGGAGGCCTGGGGTAGAGGGGGAAGGGTCTATAATGGGTCAATGGGGAAAAAAGGGGGACATATGTAGTACTTTCAACAGTAAAGGTGCTTTTTTTTTAAATAGGCAACTTAAAATGCTGAGCTACTTATAGCAACTTCTTTATGCTCCATTTATTAAAAAAAACACACAAAAACCTGTTAAAATGTCCTGTGTCTTCACATGGTAGAAGGGACTAGGGGTCTCCCTGGTCCATCTTTTATAGAGACATTAATCTTATTCATGAGGGCTCTACCCTCATGACCTAAGTACTTCCAAAGGTTCCACCTCCTAATACCATCATTTTGGGGGTTGGCATTTCAACATATGAATTTTGGGGTAGATGCAAACATTCACACCAAAGCAAATATTGTAAATATAATCATTATAAAATTAATGAATGCTAATAGTAACAAACACAATACTAATTTATTGAACATTTATCATGGGCTGATTAGTGTGCTTAGTATTATCAAAAATAAATATCAGAAATGTAAGCATTAAGATATATATTCTTTGTTTAAAAAATATAGTAACAGAGTTAGTTTATAATGTGAAAGTGGATAAGGAGAAAAAAAAGCGTATCATGGTTTTCCAATGTGGAAATATTTTTAATCTTTATGAAGGGTGCATTATTTTAATAATTATATAATTGAAGCACATTTTTAAAACTTATGGTGCAAATTTGATTTGGTAGTTTGGGAATGTTTTTTTGTTTGTTTGTTTGTTTTGCTCAGTAGAGGGCATGACCCCCCTGTGTATACTTTTGTTTTTAAATATCCTCTCTAAGACATTCTAAGCAAAGTACTCCTTGCTAAAACTGTAGCCCTTCAGATATTGCTTCACAATTATTCTGTTAATTTATTTTTTCTTAAATGATCAGGAGCTATCGTCACATTTCACTTTTACTTTATGTCTCTTCTTGTTCTAACTTTGAGCAGTCAAGAGCAAAAGGCTTCATTTGGAGGAGGCATTCTTCTGAAAGAATATACTAGAATGTATGACAGATACATTCCATATCATGGACAATATTTAAAGTGCTGCCTAAGAAATTTTCTTGATCTGTGTATGGCCCTTGAGTTTAAAGTGAGGAGGGTGTCCAATTGGGACTAAATTTATTGGTGTAAGCCCTTTATAAGCTGGGAAGGTTGTTTCATTGAAAATGAAAGGGTTGTATTTATAGACATTAAGACTGAAATAACTTCCTTCCCAGGAGTAAAGCTTCTCACACATATTTCTGTCGGCCCTCTGTGTTACCTGGAATATCCTGGATGTTTTAGATCATCAGAGTTTTGCTGCCTAACACAGAAATAAATAAGAATACCACCATATCCACTAAATTCTTTAATTTTAATCCCCAATTTCTACTGCTGCTATGAGATTCCTGCTTTTATAGAATTTTTATATTTACCATTAAATTATGATTTGGTTCATTTTGTTCATTGGATGCCACATGTAAGTGAAATCATATGGTACTTGTCTTTCTCTGACTGGCTTATTTCACTTAGCATAATGCTCTCCAGGTCCATCCATGTTGTTCCAAAGAGCAGTGATGGACTCATAGATAGAGAGCAGTCTGACCACTGTTGGAGGGGAGGGTGGCGCTGGGGAGGAGGGGAAGGGATTAAGCAAAAGAGGGGAAAAATGAGAAAAACTCATGGACACGAACAACAGTGTGGTGATTGCCAGGGGTGGGAAGTGGAGGAAAGTAGAGGAGGGTATCAGGGGAATAAATGGTGATGGGTGGAAATTTGACTTGGGGTCAAATACAGTGTACAAATGATGTGTTGTAGAATTGTGCACCTGAAACCTGTATAATTGTGTTAACCAGTGTCCCCCCAATCAATTCAATAAAAAGGAAAAAAAATTATGATTTGGCATTGACTGGTATATCTTTTTTTCCTCTCCAGTATAAGAAGTATCGCTCTTCTCATGCACACACCAACAACTTTGCAAAGTCTGTGGTCAACCTCGTAGATTCTGTAAGTATCCCCGTTTTCTCGAACCTCTGTTTCCAAGGCGAAATGCTTTATCTCTCTATGTGCTTACTTGTTACTTTAGTTCTTGCTTGAGCAAAAGTGAAAATGCCATCCTTAAGTTCATCTGGCTGAGGAATTATAGAGTGGTCTGCTTCACAAAGAGTAGTGTTGTCAGAGTTTCAGGGGACTGTTGAGTTATTCATGGAATTCCAAAAATCCATGAGAGTTGCTTCTAAGTGATGTCTGGACCTCATTGTCTCCAGAGCTTAAGGAGGACAAAAATCCTGGAGAAAATTAGCTACCAAGAAGAGTGTCAATTCAACCTGACAAAGGAGACTTTGTTCGTAATAATCAATTGAGCTTATTGACTTAAACATATTGCAGAAGCACACTAATAGATTGAGGTGGACCATGTTTGAAGGGTATAGGAAATACAAAAATAATTTTTTTAAAAGAACTCAAATTTATCTTCTTACTGTTCCCCTTAGTAGAATGCTTCAGACTTCATTTCCAGGTGACAGAATTAAGTGTGTCCCCACACAAAACTAATTTGAAACAGTAAAATACATATCTCCTTACAAAGACCTCGAACTAAAAACTCTTATGTTGATAATTTTTTCTCTTATTTTGTAAATTACAGGGAATGATGGTTAAGATTTTCTTGCTTTTTCCTGTTAGGTAGGCACTCCGTAGATGTGAATATTATTCATTGTGTTCCAATAAATTGCTCATTAGACTAGTCATCAATTAAAGATAGCATACTACTTTGTGTATTCCAATGTTAAGTGCTAGTTTGTTCAGCTAAATATATTTTAATCTGATATTTATTGTTATGTTCCCTCTTAACTAGGGGGGAAAAACCTTTTTATAAATTGCCGAATACTTAAATGATACTTATTTTCTCCAAAGAACTGCCTTCTTTTCTGCCCTTTAAACAGTCCAAAACCCCCAACCCTATAAAGACTCTTAGCCTAGAATGCCTGGTAGGCACAGCTGGAGGGGCACAGAGTGTCGTATGGAGTTAGGATTGAAATTCTGAAAGCCACTTTGTACCTGGTTTCCTTTAATTTCAGCTCTTGTCAGTCTTCTGAGAGGAAAATTATAAGTGAATATGGAAATGAGAATATTAAACACACCTTTTCCCCTGCCAAAGCTGTTTACTTGGCAGCATTCCTCTGTTAGTCATTTCAGCATGATTGAACCGAATCACATCTTGCAAAGTGTAATTTGTATTTTGGATTGCCATATAAGGTTCTGAAGCTGAACAATTGATTTTGAAAAGACATTACATTTCACTTGCTCCTTGTAAAAATCATTTCTGCTTCAGGTTGATTTAGGCATGCTGCGACTCCCGCTCTGCAGTGTGTTCAAAGGTCAGCCGTTATTTTCTTAATTAGCTTGAAAATAGGACAAAATGACAACATTCATTGAAATTGCTTAATTATGTGAATTATTTAGCTACCGGGCCTGAAGTAGAGAAAGAGAGCGGAGAGACACAATGGAAACGCTGTGAGTGATGCCACCCTGTGGTGAAGGTGAAATGGTGATACAAATCTGCTCTTTCCTCTTCTGGCCTCGGCTCTGGGATTCTTTCCCAGTGTTATTTTACTTTTCATTTCACAAAGCGTCCAAGGGCAAGCCAGCCATGCGGTTGGTGCTTATCCAAGGATTTAGTGATCTGTTCCAGTCTTGTAGGAATAACTGGTCATACTACACTACCCAGGGCTGATGAATTTGGTTCCAACCTGTTAACCTCCTATGAGGTTTGAGAGGATGTTTTTTCTGAACCCTGTTTTGAATTTATATCCAGGCTTTAGAATCTTGACATCCCTCCCATCTATCCTGAAGTGAGATGCCTGGCCACTAACGGTGCTGATTTCAGATGAAAACAATCTTATAGGAGAGGCCAAATTGTGTGATTGTTCATTGTTATTGTTGCTCTTGGAAAATGGAAAGGAAATGAAGATTCTCTCGAATGAGCCAATTATGACCTCGTGTTCTCCTCTCCCCTCCCCTCCCATCTTCCCGCTGACTCGGAATCACTGATTGTGCACGTTTAACCCAGTGTTTCCCCCCTGCACCTGTCCTGTTGTGTCCCCTCAGATTTACAAGGAGCAGCTCAATACCAGGGTTGTCCTAGTGGCTGTGGAGACCTGGACTGAGAAGGATCACATCGACATCACCACCAACCTTGTGCAGATGCTCCATGAATTCTCCAAATACCGGCAGCGTATCAAGCAGCACGCTGATGCTGTGCATCTCATCTCGTATGTGCCCCCCATCTTTGGTTTGACATTTGTCTTTTATTTTGACATTTATGAGTTAAGTTCTATATCAATATATCAATTTTGAACAAGACTGATGTTGAGCCCTAGCTGGTTTGGCTCGGTGGATAGAGCGTCGGCCTGTGGACTGAAAGGTCCCAGGTTCGATTCCAGTCAGGGGCACATGCCTGGGTTGTGGGCTTGATCCCCAGTAGGGGGCATCCAGGAGGCGGCCGATGGGTAATACTCTCTCATCATTGATGTTTCTATCTCTCTCTCCCTCTCCCTTTCTCTCTGAAATCAATAAAAATATATTAAAAGAAAAAAAGAGAGTGATGTTGATTCCTCTCTCCATTAAATGAGAAGCATGGAGGAAGGCTGTCTGGTGCTGGGAGGCTGCTGGTTCCATCGTCATTAGATCTACCTTCAGAGCATATCCCTACCTTCAGACCTTCCATCCGCAAGGTCACCTCGTGATTCAAGGTGGTTGCTGGTGCTCCAGCCTTTATTACAGGGCAGGAATGATGGTCCTGGAGGATTGTAAGAAGGCATGCCTTCCCGCTGAATTAATTCCTTTGAAGCAGATTTCCTGAAAGCTTGCACACATGAGTGTCACCAAGAAATCATTTGTTAATTTTTTTTTTTAAATCCTCACCTGAGGATATTTTTTCCATTGATTTTTAGAGAGAGTGGAGGGGAGGAAGGGGAAGAGAGAGAGAGAAAAACAGAAACATAGATGTGAGAGAGACGCATCAATTGGTTGCCTCCCACATGTGCCCCAATTGCGCTGGGGATGAACCCTTGACTGGCCATCGAATCTGAGACTCTTTGGTGAGCGGGCCTAAGCTCTGTGCTGAGGAACACAGGCCAGGGCTGCTAAATCTTACTCATATGGCCATATTGAGCTGCAAGAGAGGCTAGGAAATAGAGACTTTTCAAGTGAATTATTGAATAACATTGAACTATCACTGAGGAACAGAGGTACCATATTTTCTGGTGTGTAATAGGTGTTCCCCACATACGATGAGGCTGTTTTCAGACAGTTCTCTAAGGTTCTCTCCTGGGATCAAACCAATCAAAGTTTCCTTCCTTTCCTCTCACCTTTACTGTTTACTTTCTCTTCTTCCAGTCTTTAATCAACATTTTGTAATAATCAGCAATATTTTGTATAACTACTAGGTAGTCTCTATTGGAAGAAAATCAAGAGTTTGTGTTCTCAATTCCTGAGCTCGTACATGATGCTTAGTAGGTGCTCAGTTAATATTTGCTCAACTGAGATTATTAACATAGCATCAATTTAAAGGTTTTTATGACAGCATGAATTTCAATGTTTTTAAAATGCAGTTTTTGATTATTGTGAAGGAGGATGGTTTGGGGGTGTTCAATGTAGGAGAGTAGACATGTTTGGGGAGAGCTTACGTGATGGTCACTACGTTGGCTTCCTAATACCAATTTTCTTCCTTAAGGCGCGTGACATTCCACTATAAGAGGAGCAGTCTGAGTTACTTCGGAGGTGTATGTTCTCGCACAAGGGGAGTTGGTGTGAATGAGGTAAAACTTGTCAGGGTTCTGAAAGTAGAGCTTTATCTTTGCATCTGATCTGATCCCCCTCCCACCCCGCCCCGTGGCCCAGTTCACATCCTTCCTCAGGCCTGTTTAGAATGATGATGATGGGAATACAGTATGGATGTTTATATTAATAAATAAACCTTGTAGGAAAAGAGGTATTGTTTCATTTTATAATGATAGTTTTCCTTTTGATCAGGCAAGTACAAGCCAAAGAGGTTTTTTTGGCCTCTATAGACACATTTTTACAAGCTTGTTAATCCCTTACAATTATTTTTGAAAATTATAATGCTCTTTTGCCCAAGTTAGGTTTAACTTATTTATATGAAAGAATTTGTGATTGTATCTACTCAGCATCTCTGTTTTGTCCCTATGTAATTATTTTATATTTATGCCTTCTACCTATCTATAGAAGTAATTGAAGCAATTATTTCCTTAATCTCAGTATCTTCATTTATGTAAAGAAAATTCTGATAACAGGTGGCAGTCGCACCCGAAAAGCCGAACCAACTGTATCTAAACCTTGAGCCATACCAGAGTATTCCAGCTCATCCTCATGACCACCTTTCAGTGGAGTCCTCTTGACATGCTTCTAGGAAGTTGAATTTATTCTTGGTTTGATATGAGTTGAGTTGGGGCACAACCTTTTATGACTTGTATGTTACAATATCATGTGAGAGGAGAGCATAAGGTTTGGAGAGGTGCCATGTAGTAACAGAGGCTTTCTGCTTCCTGGGCCCAGTTGCCAGGAAGAAGTGATAAAGGAGCAGATGCTGCTTTCTGATGCTATGAGGCTCTTAGGGAACTGAGGTGTTATATGGTGATGATGAAGAAATAATAACTAGTTTTGTGCACTCTCTCAAATGTTTCCCACACACTTTCAACTCTGAAAAACAGTATGGTCTTCCAATGGCAGTGGCACAAGTATTATCGCAGAGCCTGGCTCAGAACCTTGGAATCCAATGGGAACCTTCTAGCAGAAAGCCAAGTATGTACACCGACCTTCTTACTCACCTGCGTGTCTGTGTAATGCATGACCAGTTAACAAATACATATGCTTCTTTTCTAAGTCATTGTAGTTTAATTGTAGTATATCTCCTTTCTCTAAAACAATGATAAGATGAGCAACTCAAGGTAATTCCTATTATGTTTGGGTTGTAGAAATGTCTTTTTTTCAAAGTCCCCAAAAGCATACTCACTTTCTCAGAGTGTGATCAGCGTTCTCATACTGTGGAGTGTTGGGGGTGGTGACACCTCACCCTTTGGGTTCTAACCACCTGAGTATAGACACACGATGCCCCAGGGGGCTCCATCACTAGTTTAATAAGAGTACAGGTGGATCAGGAAATAGCTTAGATCTAGAGTCAAAAAGGAGCTCAAACTCAACTTACCTACCTACCTACCTCTAATTAAACTCATCCACCAGTCCTAGCAAGAAAAGATAGAGAAGAAGCCTCCCGGACAGGAGGCCCTGATCCAGGGCCTTGTGAGCATGGGGGCAGGTGGTAGAGGATATACTCTAGTGGGCAGGCAGGGCCTAGAGGAGTGCAAACAGAGCCACAGATCCTAGCCGGTAGGAAAATGTAGCCAGTGCCCCGGGGGGGGGGGAGGAGGGGGGTGTTCCTCTGGTTGTTGATCAGACGAGAGGTGGATGGAAAGGCAGACCTGAGTTTCCAGTGACAGAGTGTCTAAGGCCCACAGTAGTGTTAGGGGTCCATGAAAAATTTTAATTTCTTTAAAAATCAGAATAAAATCCACTGTGGATTATATTCCTCTTTATACCAACACAATAATAAAATATAATTTCTAATACATTTTGTGGTAGAAGGCAAAAGTGCCCAGGACTCACATAATGTAATCCCATGGAAGGAAAGACCAAGGTGTTCGCTCAAATTATTCTCTTACTTTGGAATGAAATGGAAGTTTCCTCCCCCTGTGAAAATATCAGACACCAGGCGTAAACATTCCCGCTCCCCAACCTCCCCAAAGGAGGAAAGAATGGAAATGTACCTTAACGTTTACATTTGATACTTTTTGACTACTATCAAATAATTGTCCTGAATGCATGGTATTATGGAAACTTGAAGTAAATATCCAGGAGCTTCTCGATGCTCTCGATGGGCATCACATTATGGATATGTTAAGTCTAGTGGCACTTATCTCCAGACTTGCATTTATCAACATCTTGCTCAGAGTATTTGCTTTCCCAAGAAAACAGTACACACCAAAGGAGGTTCATCAGCTGGCTTAGATGCCTTCAAACCAGAAAGGAGTAGGACCAGGTTTCCTACCTTAACTGAAAACCCTGAAGCCAGGAAGAGGCCAGTGCTGGGGTCAGCTGAGAGGTGGTACTGAGTTGGATGATGGAATAGGGAGAGAAATAGTGTTCATTAGTGCCTGGCATAGTTCCTTCCTTCCTAAAATTCTTAATTCCTTTGTGAATTGTTTGTTTAGCTAGATAATTATTAGTTTTGAGCTTTTGATGATAAAAAAATCAATTTGGGAGTCTTTCTTTAAAATTATGATAGAAAAGAGAATAGGGAAAAATAAGTGACAAGAATAGCCCCTCACAATATCAATATGTCAGTCTTTGGTATCTATGCTAATGATTGTTATTGAATGTAAATGATTATCTACATGTCTGTTTTAGATGGCTCTCTCTTACCAAACCGTTTAGCATAGCGTTCTTCAAGTCTCTGGCCAGTCCCTGTTCTGACCATAGCAAATTGGACGCTTTAACTTCCAGTATGCTCTGGGAGCAGGACGGCGATGATGGCTCATTGCATTTGTGCCATAGAGCAGTGCAGTGGACAGAGAGCTCACAGGTTACCACGTCATGTGAGCCCCAGGACCACCCTGGCATCTAAGCAGAGAGACGCCTTCCCCATTTTAGAGGTGGAAACTCTGAACCCCAAGACATGCTAAGTCGCTTCCCTATGGGACCCTTTCACCAAGGAGAACTGGGACCACGGCTCAGGCTTTCTGTGGTCCAGACCAGGGTACTTTTCATTCAACATTGGAACGAGGAATTTAATTGAGTTCTCTGAGTTACAATAACGAGGAGAGGCACAATTGTATTTCTTGCCGGCTGTTAGGAGGTGACCTTTACTTCTGGAAAGAATGAAGACGTATTGATTTAAAGGAAGTCGATTTTGCTCTGTGAGACGTCACTGTCTGTACCTAGGAGTGGAATTAGAATTAAGAAATTATTGAAGAGCTGTAATGCAAATGACAGATGTGACTTTCGTTGTTTCTCTTTTCTTCTGTTGCTTTGTTTCTTTGGACTAGAATGTGACTGCACAGAATCCTGGGGAGGCTGCATAATGGAGGAAACAGGGTAAATTTTCATATACGTGCGTTTGATGAATGTCTTTCACTGCAATTGCTGCATATAATTAGATACACAATCTCTCGGTACTGGCCTTTTAAGCTAAGCACTTAGTATAAATTCAATAATTAATTATCTGATATTTTAAAGATGAAAGGACTAATTTACTTTATGTTTTAATTTTTTATTTAAAGTTGATGATCAGTGTAAGATATAGTAACTACTTCTACGTCTATTAACCCTTAAAGATAGCACAGTATTAAATGCTTCTAAGTTTAATAGAGATATTAATTTTTCAGTACACTTAGAATAAAAGCTGGTTGTCTACCTGAAGCAGTCAGTGAAAACCAATTTAGTCATCAATTTATATCTTAAGGAACTCGCCAATAGATATGTTGCTGTAATAAAAATTGTACTGTACTGCTTATATAACCAATAATTTTTTTTATTATTAAGACAGATCATGTCTAAATTAGGTAGTCTTCTACTGATAGACATTTGAACATTTCCTCACCTACCTCCTCTCTGTCCCAGAGCTGCCATTGCTCTGTGCACCCAGGCCTGGAAACATTGTCCTCTTTCCCAGGGACCCTTCCCCCAGGGCAACCTCTGTCCCAAGGCCCCTGCGCTAGAATCTTCTCCTTATAGATGGGAGAGGTTTCTCACCTTGTGCCCCTCCTACTTCTTGGCCCCATTCCCAACATCTGCTCAACACATCGGCCATTTCTAGTGCTACCCCCATCCCTAAGCGCCCCAGTTGCCAGAAACCTGAGCTGTTTGGACAGAGACCTTTCCTTATTCTCCCACCAGGAGTTCAGCTCATAGGACAGACAGGAGTGTGAGCATGAGGGTTTGCAGGGGGAGTCAGCCATTCTGCCTGCTATTTTAGAACACAGAAACGGCATAGCCCCTTGCTGTTGAACCATAGTTTAGTAATATTTTGGCTTTTAAGCAGGCTTTTTGGAGGACTGCTATAGGAAAGTAACACTACTTATAATATTGGTTCTATAGGTTGGTATCTAAACTCCCAATTTCAAAATGACTTTTTTCTTTTTATTAAGTTTATTGGGGTGACATTTGTTAATAAGATTGTATAAGTTTCAAGTATAAATTTTTATGATATATGATCTTCATATTGCATTGTGTGCCCACCATCCAAAGTCAGATCATCTTCCGTCACCATGTATTTGATCCCCTTTAAATGAATTTTTTGAGACTACAGATAGGATATGATAAAACTAACATTAATATTTATTTTTTCAAGTACACATTTCTGTGTAGTTCTTGTAAGAGATCACTGTCAACAATGGCAGATTTCACCTTCTTCCATACACTGCCCTCATATCAGGATACAGAGAATTATTGGATTACCTCCTGGCATAAGTGGCCTTTCAAATTTCAAATCAAGGACTATTACAAATATGCTCAAGGAATTAATGTGCGTGATTTAGTTTAACCTTGACTATGTGTATAACATTCCCCTATGTACTGACTGACATAGAGATAGTAATTTGATTAATCAAATCATAGAGCAGCTCATATTGTAATCCTACTAAATCATGAATGTCACCTAATAATAGTATTTGTGATTGAGAACAGGGAGCTATTATTCACAGGAGCTTACCCTAATTCTGTTTGTATTGTGTGTGTGTACACTAAAAGCATATATGCATGTACACACAGATATATATGGCCTAATACATTCTTTTAGGGTTTTCTTGTTTACCGGAATTGTTTTGTGGAAGCTTGCATTATACAATCATTAATAATTGACCCTTACAACTCCCTCCTCAAAAAAAAAAATCCAGTGGGTTCCTGAGGTCTTTTTATTCAGGACAGAGGCAAAAAAGTGCCTACCTTTACTGAGACAGAGCAATAAAAATGACCACATTTTAAAATACAGGCTTAACGAAGAAGTTTTGTGATGAGCTTTTCAAAAAGTCTTTGAAAGCCAGGGATGGAAAAGCTTGGATGCTGAGGAGGTTGTCCCCTAGCCCCCAGGTTATTTTTATAAACTCGATCACACATACTTTGCCGATTTGAACATAAGTACCTTGTCAAAATTTGTGTAGAATCATCTGAGTCCAGAGTGAACATTTTGTTCTAAATCCAGGGTTTTAATTTTCTTCTCCGATGACTTCTTTTGGGAAGTTATCTACATAATTGATTCTTTATTTCCTCAGGGTATCCCATTCCAGAAAATTCTCAAAGTGCAGCATTTTGGAATATAGAGACTTTTTACAGAGAGGGGGTGGAGCCTGCCTTTTCAACAGGCCAACAAAGGTTAGTAACTTAGGAAGTGTAATATTCTCTCTCTCTCTCTCTCTCTCTCTCTCTCTCTCTCTCTCTCTCACACACACACACACACACACACACAATGGAATAGTGCCAAGTATCAGATACTTGTCTTGGAAAGCAGGGTTGTTGTCAATAGGTTAATATTTAGTTACCAAAGGCTTTCTCATGTTGAAGACTGAGACCTGTTTAAATGAACTATAATTTTACTGTTCTGAATCTGTTTTTTAGCGCTAGCTGCTGCACCCTCTCCCAACCCTCTCCCCGAAACAGTCTTTTAATTAAAATATATTTGAAATTTCAGGTTAGGGATTTTAGCCTGCTACTAAGAAATAGTGGATTACATTAAGATATATTGCTTTAACTTATTTCTCTGACAAAAATTCCATTTGGCCTTAACATTCTCTCTAGGGGTATAACTAATGTCTTGGCCCTCTCCTCTCCTCCCCTCACCTTCCCTTCCCTTTCCCTTCTCCTCTTCTTCCTTCCCTTCCCATCCCCTCCTCTCCTCCCTCCATCCTTCCATCCATCCTATCTTTCTTTTTTTAAAATATATTTTTATTGATATTCAGAGAGAGGAAGGGAGAGGGATAGAGAGACAGAAACATCAATGAGAGAAACACATTGATTGGCTGCCTCCTGAACAGCCCTCTATTGGGGTTAGGTCAAGTCAAACCGAGGACCTCTTGGTCCATGGGTCAGTGCTCAACCACTGAACCACACCAGCCGGGCCTTTCTTCCCCTCCCTCCCTCCCTCCCTCCCTCCCTCCCTCCCTCCCTCCCTCCCTCCCTTCTTTCCTTCCTTCCTTCCTCTCTCTCATAGTCTATTCTCCCAGAAAAGAAGCATTTCTAATATCAGCAACAAAAATGGGCCAAGTATTTATGGATCCCATTAACACATATATATATTTATATTATACAGTCTCTTTACTTGGGAAGGTCCACATTGTCAATTGACATTTCATTGAAGTTCATATATACAGTGTCATAATCCCTTATCCACAAATTCCTTCATTCAAAAGCTCTGAAAACTGGAAGCATTTTTATTAGTTTGCAGAAGACACAATGGACAGTGACACTTGTCCTGAACTGAAAATCATTATCCCTCATAGTGTGAACATTTGTAAGTCTTGCTGTGGAAATATTAATGTGTTTGATTATAGGGCATCCAGCAGGCCCCTCAGGGTTATTACATGGAACATGGTAATCGCATCATACTTTTCTAAAATCCAGAAAAGCCAGAATCCTCAAATTCACCAGACATAAAGCTTTTGGTACAGGACTACAGACCTATAGTAATATGTTTGGAAGAAGTTGCTCAACAGACAAAAAGACAGGGTTGGTGCTAATTAGCAGATGGTATAGACATTCTAACATTGCACATTTCATATTTCCTTTAAGTCAAAACAAGTCCATTGCTATACAAAGTGTTTAACACTCTGCAAATTGAGAGAGCAGTGAAATCATGTTAGCCGTTTAAAAAAATCAGTACTAATGTGGGTAACTGACAGAATAATTTATTCCTATCCCCATAATCAAGTGATACTGCTATAGCCAGGGGATGGTAGTTTGATGCCTGACATTTGTATAGAATCTCAGTAAGGCTGCAGAAAAAGAAATAGGAATTTTAAAGTGAACTTGCATCATTAAAACTTGGCTGCCTGCCTTTTATGACATTCATCTCAATGCAACAGAATCCTGACAACTCCAGAGTGTATAAAATGGATGCAGTGAGTAATGATGAATTAATGTGAGCAACTGGTATTTTGAATGCAATGCATGTGGCCAATTTTACCTGCCTTGCAGCTCACCAACTAATTATAAGCATCACACGTGAGGCAACAACACTGAGTTGTTGGGAAAGGTTAAGATTTTGAGTGTGTGTATAAGGATCCATCACTAGATGTCTGACATTGCCTGTGAGCAGAGAGAAAATGATTCCAGTAAGCTGGAAACTTAAAAGTAACCATCTACCTTTAATTTTAAAAGTTAGTAAACATGAAATTGTTTTTCTCTGGAAACGGCATATTAGCATGTTTTGTAAAAAGCCCCTTTGGATTCCAGTGAAAGAGTTTTTATGTATGTAGCAAAGAACTGACTTTTTCCAAGTGTTTTCAGTCAATGACTGTATGGATGCATGTTTTATGTGTTTTTACATGACCCGTGTGCATCTTTTTTGTGCCGTGGGAACCTCCCCAAGGCCATGTTTCCCATGTGGTGTGCCGCAGTGACCTGTCTCAAGAGGAGAGTCCTAAGGTTACATGTTCCGGTCTGCCCTTCCCTTTTCCATTTTCTCCTGCTTGCTGATCAAAATACCGCAGGCATTAGGACTGTTGATTTCATTCATTGGACTTGCCCGCTGGGGAGTCCCACCCAAGTCTCCTGGAAATCTTCCTTGTTTCTTATAATAGTTCTCCTTCCTGGAAGTGGAAGGGGGATCAGATCTTTCTCAGGTGGACTCAGTGGAAGCCACCCCTGGCTTGGGTGTGTGATGTTGGTGGGGAAGGAGTCTCTTTCTCCCTCTCCTACTCATGGCTCTGAGATTTGGGTTGGAGTGTGCTGGACATGCACAGAGAAATCTTGCCCAGGTTAAGGGAAGTAGGAATGGTTCCCATAAACAATCAACTGCCTCCACAATTGGTTGCAATAGTGTTTATCTGGTGAGCAAGTTCATGGCATCAGAGGGTGGTTTATTGTTGACATTTGACACTTCATTGCTCCTGGAAGGACTGAGGGATTTCTGTACATCCATGTATATGTCTGCGTATGTACTTAACATGCTTCAGGCAGTATGGATTTATTTTCAATGAGAATGATGGGAGTGGATTTCCAGCCACATTTTATCCTAAGCTTATTTGTGTTTGCTTGATTGTGTATATCACGTTTGGCTGGACTGAAACATTTTTATCCTTTTGACAATTTTGATGTCTTCTCAGCTGGCTTGAGATAAGTCAGCAAATTAGATATATGAGCCTTCTTAGCAATGCACCTTAGCTCCATTAGCAAATGTGAGAAGTGATCCATTCTTGTTGACAGCTTATCTCCATAAAAAGTAACTGTGATGATGGAGGTCACCTCTGGAGCCCACCACCATAGAATCCTCCAAGAGATATTGCCCCATTTAAAATATGGGTTTTAGCCCTACCGGTTTGGCTCAGTGGATAGAGCTTCGGTCTGCGGACTGAAGGGTCCCCGGTGCCCGGGTTGTGGGGTTGATCCCCAGTAGGGGGTGTGTAGCAGGCAGCCGATCAATGATTCTCTCTCATCATTGATGTTTCTCTCTCTCTCTCTCTGCCTCCCTCTCCCTCTCCCTCTCCCCCTTCCTCTCTGAAATCAATAAAAATATATTTAAAAAATAAGACATGGGTTTTATAAGTATTATTAATAAGTGAACAGTATTTCCCACACAGACATCATCTATAAGATACCATTGCAACAGATCACAAAAGAACATCACGGGATAGCTGATTGAAGGGCCATATATGTGGCCTGATTGGTGTGCTGATTTTCTGTGATAAATTAAAATGTTTTTCCTTTCTCTCCCTAATGGCCTCAGCTGTTTGAGCCCACAGAATGTGGAAATGGATACGTAGAAGCTGGGGAGGAATGTGATTGTGGTTTCCATGTGGTAGGTATAAGAGTTCTTTTTTACCTTCAGCACAGCACCTACGCAGAGCAAACACGAATAGCATTAGTGAGACACCTGCAATATCATTCACTGGTCTCGCTGCCTTTCTTTCTGATCTTGCTCATCAATGCTTAATCCCAGCTCAGACACAGCATTAGAATTAATCATGTCCTTATGGCCCTGTCTGAGAAAACCTCGTGGATCCTTCTAATCAAATTCCCTACCTCTTAAAAATTCATAGCTCACAGCTACCCCAGACAGGTTTTACCAAATCACGAAACAGTCCTTCTGCGTTGTGTATTATTCTTGTCTCTATAAAACTAGGTTGAGTATTCAGAATGTAATAGAGCTAGCCAAGGGTGGGATGCCCGCTAAGGAATAAGGTGACATTTTGGTAGAGAAGCCCTTTCATAGAAGATCATGCTTTGTTGAGAAATATGGCAGGAAGGACTCTGTCATTGTCCAAGTGATTAATTCTTTCCTGAAGTATTTGCTTACTATTGTATGAATCCCCTCGTCTGGATTATGCCTCAGTCATACGTGGAGAGAATGTTGAATGGACCAGTGGGGAAGCATCCTGACTTACTCACGCCAAGTGCTTTTTCTAGGAATGCTATGGTTTGTGCTGTAAGAAGTGCTCTCTCTCCAATGGGGCCCACTGCAGCGACGGGCCCTGCTGCAACAATACCTCATGTCTGGTGAGTTTCCTGACAGCTTCATCATTCTTTTCATTGACATAGGGGCCAAATATCTCAATGTATGCATTTAAAAAATGTAATCCTTCTAAAATAAACATTAAGAGTTGCCCTGTTAACGCAGATGAAAACCAGGTTAGATGGTTGAATAGAAGAGGGACAGTTCCTGTGGTCTTTTTATTTTAGACTCTGAGCATAAAAGCTAGTGCTCATAGTTTTACACTTGGCTTTTTAAATCCCCTACCAAGGCAAAAAAGCTAGATAAGGAAGTCATGTATGAATGTATGTCTATATGTGTGTAGACACACAGTTACTTCTACCTATAGAGACCAGTTAATTTTTAAAAAGTCCTTTAAAAAATATTTTCTTTTCTCATCTATAAAAACCTCTAATATTTCTTTTACCTATAGAATTACACAATTTGATCATTTTATTCAATATTAATGGGTATTATACATATGGTATTCTAGAAGATTACAGCTTAGTTTATACTCACCTTATGTCCCCTACCAGGTTATAAGTTGCTTGAAGGTAATTCCTTAATCTTTTACTTATCCCCAATCAGACCAACCAAATGCCTTGTATACAGTAGGCATCCACTGGTGTTACTGAAGGGAACCATTGACATTTGATTGTATATATTTAGTTAAAGCAAGATTAACATCCAAGTTCATAAAGTTAATTAGTAAACATTGGGTGGATACATAAACCTCCAGAGAAATCTTAAATGTTTGTATTTTAGTGTTTTGCCGCTCTTTTGTCTCTAGCCACACCAGTGTTTCTTCTTTACATAGTTGCCATTACATTGTTTTTTAAAAATAATACTCTGAGACAGTGGGTTTTGAAATCCAAACATTTACTGTCTTGGTTAATGATTCATATTTACTACAAAGAGTGAGAACTGGGCCTTGCCTTCATTCTGCAGCTACCTTGCTAATTCATACAAAGAGTTTGGTGATGGTTGTGAGAGAGTACCAAAATTACTGGTGAACATCAGAATGCTGACTTTAAGGAAGATTAATTAATACTAGCTCCTAACATTGGATTTCAACTTGCAGTTTCAGCCAAGAGGATATGAATGTCGGGATGCTGTGAATGGGTGTGATATTACCGAGTACTGCACTGGGGACTCGGGCCAGGTATGGCAAACTGAGGTTTAGGTAACACATTTTACGTGTAAATGCACATTTTAAAGCTTTCCATTTGGATTACGTGTGTGAATATGCTTTGGCTCCTTTGGTTTTTGTTTTGTTTTCTAGTAGTTTTCCAGCCTGCCTTTATTTTAGAAATCTCTTTTTCTTCCAAGTTTCCTTTTCATAATTAGTTCCTTTTATATGGTTTATACCCAACTAATTGATTCTTCTTTCTACACTAATGAAGCACTAATGTACTGTTTACAAACATTTTTAAGCCACAAAACCCCTTTTTTAAAAAAAACCCCACAAAATTTTGGATGGGAGCCCAAGATAGAAAGCAGGAAGCAAGCAGCACTGCTCTGGGTGAAGTGGGACTGGGAGCAGGAGTCCTGCCCTCTCCGCTCTGTACCTGTCTGGTGGCGTGGCCGATGTGCTTTGGCGTGATCTTCTCACATTAAAATTATTATAACATATAATTAATGTTGACTTGTAGCATTCCTTCTTTAAGTGATTTGTATGCTTTTAAACATTTAGGTCATGTTATTTCAAGTCTTTATTTGTCATTCGTATGAACATTTTTTGAGCACCTACTATATGGCAAGCACTGCTGTGAAAGTTGGGATGTGAGAGGGTCACGATGGACAAGTGCTTGCTCTTCTGGAGCTTACATTCTGCTCGGTGGAGAAAAGCAAGCAAGTGAACAAAAATACCAGCGGTGGTAAGAGCTAAGCATAAAATCAGGCGGTGTGCAAAAACCGAGGGAGTGGGGGTTTTAGGTGGAGTGGTCGGGTATATTTTCTTGGAGGGGTAGGCATTTAAGTAGAAACAGCTAAGAAGAAGTTTGGCAGAAAGCAGCAGGTACAGGAGCTTGGCTTCTTCAAGAAAAGGAATGAAAGAGAGGAGATGCGTGGGAACCTTCAGAGAGGAAGCCAGGAATCAGGACAGGTAGGAACTTGGTAAGAACTCTAGATTTCACTGGACCTTCATATTCATTCTGACATCACTTAAAAGCATTTTCCCACACCGTGACATCTTTATTACATAAAAATCCTTTTTACGGTTGCGTGAGAGCCTGTCATGTGTACTAGTTGATTTCTGTATCCAGTGGTGGATATTTATAGATTTTTGGCAACTTTTTAGAATTAGAATTAATGTGACAGTGAATACCTTTATGCATTTTTAAGTCTGTTTTCTTGTTGTGAGTTAGCTAATTAGGGTAAGTTTCTAGGAGTAGAGTTACCTATTGCCAGGTTTTGTGCTATCCAAGGAGCTACCAATAAATAGAGTACAGATGGAGGCCAGAATATCATTTTTGTTATTGAAAATGGCCAAGATAAAAGTCGTAGCTTAGTGTGAGGCTAAATGGGCCTCTTTATAGATCCCAGGTTCAGGCTGTAGAACCGGTAATTGAGAAAATTGGGTCTGGAGTGGCCTCTCCCTGCAGAGCCTGGCCTTGCCTTACATGTCATGTAGAGAGAGTATGATTTATGTGAGTAGGCAAGAGAGAATGGCAGAACTGAGCCAGAATGCCCAATTATTCCTCTCTAGTTTATCAACCAGTCAACCACTCTACCTGCTGGGGAAGAAGTGAATAAAGAGCAGAGAGTGGCTGGAGTTACACTGAATTTCCTTCACTGAAAGGACTAGAGGAGAGGGAAACAAAGGTTCCTAATTGATCTCTTTGGAAGTTCTCGGTATATATCATGAGACTCCATCCAAATGGACCCTTGTAAGGATATGGTACACTTGAAATTTGTTCAGGCTGTTCTTTTATGGTTTTTCTGTGCATCTCTTTTTTTCCCCTTGTATATTTTTATTGATTTCAGAGAGTAAGGGAGAGGGACAGAGAGATAGAAACGTCAATGATGAGAGAGAAACATTGATTGGCTGCCTCCTGCACGCCCCACACTGGGGATCGAGCCCAAAACCCAGGCCCTATGCTCTGACCTGGAATTGAACCATGACCTCCTGGTTCATAGGTCAGTGCTCAACCACTGAGCTGGACTGGCCAAGCTGTATCTCTTTCTTATATTTAAAATTGTAAATCGGATTCTTTGTAATTTTCTTATAATATAGTGGCAAAGTATAAGAATTGTGGACTCTATGTTTCATGGCAAGTGTACTGACATTCATGAATTACCGTTCCACTGTGTTATATTTTTGGTTTTATAGGATAATACTATTTTTATACCCATCATATAATGTTTTGGGTCTGTATTATATTGTATTTAGCTCTTTTAGAAGTCTGTTTGTTTCCATTTCAACTTTTAATTCTTGAATTGCCATAGAATTTACCAGAAATAAGGCTTTTATAATAAGGGCTCTGTGGTCAACTGAATATTTTATTGTCTAAATTTTTTAAATGTTCTTTTTAATCTCATTTATCTAAGGTAAAAACTGTACTGTCAATTTCTCAGTGGCATATTAGAATAACATGTTCTGTTACTAGTAATTTCTTTATATGACCAGAATGAACCTGAAATAGATCACTGGTGGAAAAAGAGTTAAATGCCCTCAAATTCTTTGGCTTTGTAAGAGGCAGAAAACTTTGAATTTAATTGATATTAATAATGATTAAGAAATGGTGACCTCTGAGAATTTCTGCATCTCTGAGAATCAGTATTGTTGGCATTATGACTTTATCTCTTTTATCTCATAGTATGTTTTTGCTTAATTTTGATATTAGCATTAACTGATGCCTTTGAGCTACTTTTATTTTTATTTATTTATTAAGTTTAGAGAGAGAGAGGAAGAGAAAGAGAGAGAGAGACTAATTTGTTATTCCACGTATGCATTCATTGGTTGATTCTTGTATGTGCCCTGACTGGGGATCAAATCCGCAACCTTGGTGTATCAGAATGACGCTCCAACCAACTGAGCACCCAGCCAAGGCCTGAGCTGCCTTCTAAGTTCACAATTTATAACAGAATAAACAATACTGAGAGAACTCCTTGGCAAACAATACTGGATGATATGACAAAGATGTTTTAGGAAGATGTGGGAAATGTTTTTTTGTTAGCACCATGAAGTATGTCATCCAAATGGGTAGTAGAACACAATTTAAAATAAGCCCATTTAACTGCTACTGCGCTGTTACAGTCTGCCTCAAGTGAACCCTTTGTACAGCATAAAGGTTGGGGCTGGCATGGCCTTTAGAGACCAGAGCTGTACCGAAGGCGTATTACTGCATGGGCAGCATAAAGTACACAGATTTATGGTTCTTCTGCTTTAAGTGTCTCCAGAGACCATAAAACATTTCATAATTTCCCTTGTTAAACGTTTCAACGATAAGCAACTGGCTTTTATTAGCTTAAACGGAACATAAATTGATTGGAAATCTTCTTGCATGTAGCTATGACAGCTTATAATTAGGTGAAGTAAAGCATTTTTTTTCATTAGTAAAGAATTCTGTGAGTTCTTTCCTATTGAAACATCACAAATATGACAAATTAATTTTAGACCCTGATGTGCCTATTATGGTAGCGGCATTTCTTTTTCATTTTTGCTCAGTGTGGTTGTATTTGTCTTGAAGTAAGTGAATAATTAATGTTAGTTGATTAATACGATAATGACTGTGTTTTGAGTGGATTTGGATGAATGAAAGAGACCACAGGGATCTCTGTTTTTTGTGTAGTTGGCCCAGTATGCCAGGTTTGGGGGCTGGTAATTATATCCTTTGAATAGTCACCATCAGGTTGAATGAAAAGCTGTGGTGAATAAAAGCTTATATAAGAGTCAGATAATCTGTAGAAAGATGTAGAATCCAAGCACTTGATCTCAACGTGTTCCTTAATAAGTTACTGCTTCTTAGCAATTCTAAATTAGTTCTGTTAGCTTTCTGTAGTGAACTTGACAAACAGCTTGATATGTACAGAATAGAATAACTTAATTGTATCTGTATGGCTGTTCATTTGTTTTCCCAGTCAGCCAATAGTGATTGAGCATCTACTCAATAATAATTGAGCCCAGTTTTGTTCTAGGCACCAGGGAGGCAGCAGGGAACAAAACACAAAATCCGTGTCTTCATGGAGCTCTCATTAGGATAGGACAATAGACATACAAATAAGTAAAATACAGTAAGTCCTCACCTAACATCGTCGATAGGTTCTTGGAAACTGTGACTTTAAGTGTAAGGACGTCTAACAACCAAGTTTACCAGAGGCTAAATGATATGAACAAGAGCTAAGTTCCTATGGCCCTTTTCTTGCCACAGAAACATCAGCAAACTTTTAAGGACCCCAAACACTTCTTATGTTAAACATTAAAATAAATGTGAGCTATACAGATATTTTAGAAAGATGAACAAAAATAAGTCAGATCATTCTTTTCCAACCCACTTATTGCAGTTCCAGGTCATGGTTGCCCAGAGACTGTTCCAACCCTGGTCATGCAAAGCGGGAACTCTTCTGGGTGGGACACCTCCCATTTGGGGCACACTCACACCCACCCACACTCACTCACACTGGGACACATCTCTGGGATGTGGGAAGAAACCCATGTGCACATCTTAGGCCCATCACCATGTGCGCATCTTAGACAGGCCAATCACCCATGTGCACATCTTTGGGATGTGGGAAGAAACCGGTGTCCCTGGAGAAAACTTATGCAGAGGAATCAGTTTTTATTTTTCTTTCTCATCCATGTTATAACAAAACAACGTTATTCGGGGACCTGCTGTATATGAATAGTCAGTTGCTAATAAGTACGATGGAGAAGAAAAACAGAACCAAAGAGGGAATGGGGAGCAGAGAATGCCAGCCTGGGAGGGGCTACAGTTCTGAAGAGCATGGTCAGGGAAGGCTTCTCTGAGATGCTGATACTTGAGCAAAGCCCTGAAGAAGATGAAAGAGCAAGCCATGCAGAAATCGGGGGCAGGGGTGGGTGGTGGGCAAGGGAAGGAAGAGCCAGGGCAAAGGCCACAGGGTAGCAGGATGCCTGGCACCTTCACGTGGTGTGAGATCAGTCGTGGCAGAGAGTAGGAATGAGGTCAGGGAGACGATGGGCCAGTGCAGCCTAGGAGCAGATCGTGCTGAACTTGGAAAGCCATGAGTAAGTTGGGAAGCCACTGAGCAGAGAGGAGACACGGTCTGGTTCACGTTTTTTCAAGGGGCACTCTGGTAGCTGTATAGACTACAAGGCGAGGAGGGCGAGGAGGGCGAGGAGGGCAATTGGTTGGAGACTGTTGCATAATCCAACAAGTGAGAGATGGTGAAGGGATGGACCAGGCGTTTTCCAGGGGAGATGGAGAAAAGTGGTCAGGCAGTAAGGGCTATGGGGATTTTTTGATGGACTAGGAAAAGTGAAGTAGAGGATGCCTCCAATTATTTGAGGCCTGAATAATTGAAAGAGTGCGACTGTCCTTTACTGAGGAGGTGACAGAACACCGAGGGAGGTCTCGGTGCATACTGCTGTGTTTCTTACTCACTTGCCACACCTGTGTATTTTTTTTTCTTTTCCTTTTCATATTTGCTTTGAACACTGTGGTGGAGGCTTTGAATTGAATTTTTTTTTATCTCTCTTACATGTGGTAAACACTTCAACTTAATGTATTCAGGGTAATTTGGGGTGAAAAATGAAGTGTACTTTAAAATAATTATTTGATAGATAGACCTGAAAAAAGAAATTTCCATCACATCAGGATTGTTCTAGTAACAGGGCTGTGGTTCGAGAGGTCAGAAATGTAATGGAGATTCGTCACTTACACTGAGCTGAAAGGCAGGATATTTTTTTTCTTTTTTAATAATGTGGCCTCGAGGTGAGCGTCGTGGGTGTCAGATATAGATTTGACATTTTTCACAGAGCTGAGCCAGTCTGTAAATTAGTTCCTGAATGTGTCCACTCCTACATCACAAGATGACTCATATCCTGTCATTGTCCATTTTAATCCCTTCTACTTTCACTCTGTAGGCAAGTGAATGTAAGTTATTATTCTAGTCTACTTCGTGGAAAACAGAGAAACAAAAAAGCACCCACTGCGTGGACCTAATTTATTTATTTTTACCAATAATGGGAGAATTAATTTGGATAATCTACTTAAGGAGTTAGTCATTTTTTAAGCTTTTCCAATTATATGTTCACCATGCTTGAATTTTTTGATGTTTTTACATATTGTGCACATAACCTGAAAGAACTTAACATGATGAGCATTAACTAAAAAGATTATATTTTTTAGTGCCCACCAAATCTTCATAAACAAGATGGATATGCATGCAATCAAAATCAGGTATGCTGGGCTATACATTTTAAGTGTTAAATTTAAAAAGATTAGTTTTCTAGGTGTTTGTTTTGTTGTTTTTTAAATAAATACAAGTTTGAAAGGAAATTACATCTCAAACAATAGTAAATTATTACAGTGGTCCTCTGATCCGGAGTTGCTTTGTGTCGTACCAAATACTAACTGTATTATATTTAACTCTGATGACAAATTGTCCAAATTAAGGGCAAGAATTGGGAATCCAATTTATTGAGTTGTGACTATCTTCAATACCAGTCTGTTTATTTTGGAAAAAATATGGCAATCTGTTATAACGTGCCCCCCCCCCCCCGCCCCAAAGCCATGTTATAACCTAACTATTCACAAACAAAAGAAGCTAAAAATCATCTTGGTATCACCCAAAGAAATTTAGCAATTGCTGTTTACCATAAAGTTTTATATTTTAGATGATTAGATTTAAAGAGCTGTACTATGAGGTCTGTTCTTAGTTTTAGATTTTAGCTGTCTGTTATTCTTCTGCTTGTCTGAAGATGTTTGTGCTTCTCATTTTCACTGTGAAAATTTGGGGGCAAACAGAACCGGCTCCGTGTGCCTCATAAGGTGTGTGTTCTTGTCCTCAGGGTCGCTGCTACAGTGGGGAGTGCAAGACCCGGGACAACCAATGTCAGTACATCTGGGGAACAAGTAGGTTGCGTTTTCCTGTTGATGCTCACACACAGGTTTCTCTTCACATTGTCCTTCTCTGCCTGCCTTGCCGAGAGAGATGTGTAGCTTGGAGTGAGGTTTTAAAGAAATCTAGAAAAGGGTGAAATAAAGAGAACTGTGAATCTTAGTCACAGAACCACAGGAACATCTGCTGAAGTTGGGGGCTTGTTGTGAGAACCCGAAAGCGCCATTCAGTGCTCGAGGCGGTAAGAGAAGGGACAGTATATCCCTGCAGAGATCGGGTTGAGTGCAGTGGTCACGTCGTTACCCGGCCACTTGCATAATTTATTTTGTATCTTGGATTTAACATTTATCCCCCCAAACTTGGCCATCTGTTCTTTTACCCCAGGAAAGTTCCAGCCCTTGTTTTTTAAATTCTGCAATTTTCTATCCTTAGTGTGAAATGAAGAAATGCAGGTACTGCCCAAAGTGCAGACAGATAGAGATTCGGGTACATGGTCATGATTCTCGGCACGTTCCCTGCCTCTTAATACACGTGATATTGTCCTGGCATTTGCAGCGCCTCCCAGTGAACTTTGCGTAATGAGGGCCAGACCAGAGGAGAGAGAAAAGGGTCTGCTCTGCTGGCTGAGGCTGGTCACCCCCAAAGATACAGAAAGCACACAAAAGGGGGATAGAGGCCTTGCACAGTGCTTCCAGTGTTTGGCAAATATCATCTGACTGGAAGATATACTTTTGGGGCTTCAGTTTTGACAGAGGAAAGGTAATAGAGGCATATTTCTTAAAAAAAAAAAGGTTTAAATGTTAAAATCCGATTTTCAAGGTAAAATTTCAGTTGGCTAAGACTTTGTGGTATCTCCTAATATTAATATAAAGCAAGACTAAGTGCGTTTATATGTTTTCTATGTGTCACTTCACTAATTTCTGCTAGTGATCATTCGTACTTCCTCCCTCAAACCTGCCAGCAAGAATTGGGAATACATTTGTTTCTCAAGTTAAAAGTAGCGGTATGTTGGAGCTGTCTTGCATTAGCTTGTGAGAGCCAACTGTTAAAATTTCAGGACTTTTAGAAGCCAGTTGACATCACACTGAGACCTTGAAATTAGCCACGTGTCACACCATGGAAATTTACATAATGGTATTTACACCATGGAAACTGGTAAATGCTACAAACGAGAATTTCTTTTATTTGTATTTTTTGGAGAATCAGTTGTCAAACGTTTACCAGCACACAACTGGTTATAGATAACAAAGAGAACTAAAATAAATCTTCTCTTGCTCATCTCCAAAAGAGGCTTCGGGGTCCGACAAGTTCTGCTATGAAAAGTTGAACACAGAAGGCACGGAGAAGGGAAACTGTGGGAAGGATGGAGACCGATGGATTCAGTGCAGCAAACAGTGAGTGGTCAGCTTTGGGCGTGAGGAGCGGGTGGAAAGGCCTGGTTCAAATGTGAAATGGCACAACATAAATGTCACTGAGTTTTTATAATGTCAGTTATTTCAAATTTTAAAGTATGCATATAAAAATATGTTAGTATATCTGGAAGCAAATGGCTACGGACTAACCTTTCTATGCACAGACTCACATTATTTCTGTAAAATTCAGAATATTTCTCATAGACTTTATTTTACCTGATGCTTGTTTTGAAGAGATATGTTGCCAATGGATAACTAATTAAAATTAGTATATACAGAGTTCTATAAGCAACATATGTAGGCCTTATATATTTGGGGGACCACTCAAAGTAGAATAACATGTTGGTCATTTCATGAGTACAGTACCATTTGATTTAATTAAAGATCTAATGCCTGTATCAGAGATTTTTAAAAAATATTTTTATTGATTTCAGAGAGGAAGGGAGAGGGAGAGAGAAATAGAAACATCAATGATGAGAGAGAATCATGAATTGGCTGCCTCCTGCACGCCCCCTACTGGGGATTGAGCCCACAACCCAGGCATGTGCCCTTGACTGGAATCAAACCTGGGACCTTTCAGTCCGCAGGCCAGTGCTCTATCCACTGAGCCAAACTGGTCAGGGCTGTATCAGAGATTTTTATTCCCTTCTGAAAAGCATCTATTCACTGCATACTGGAGGCTTCTCTATGAGGAAATGAGATATTTTCAGAACCCATCAGTGATATTTTCCCCTTGATTAGTTGAGGGAAGTTAATATTATGATTTAATGATTTACTCAATGACATGGATCTATGGGACCTTTAGGTTATAGGCCAAAGATCCTCCGTTTTCCTTCCATAACAATGAGGATTCTTCCCCCAATTTTGAAACAGAGCAAGGATTTAATGGAAGTTTTTATTTCTCTAGTTAATGGTTTCTATGTGGAACTTTACAAAATTTTGCAATTCCATCTAGTTTTTGGTGATGGATCAGGCTTTACAAGACAACAAGTCTTTGACGATAATTTCTTTTTTTTTTTTTTAATATATTTTATTGATTTTTTTACAGAGAGGAAGGGAGAGAGATAGAGAGTTAGAAACATCGATGAGAGAGAAACATCGATCAGCTGCCTCCTGCACATCTCCCACTGGGGATGTGCCCACAACCCAGGTACATGCCCTTGACCGGAATCGAACCTGGGACCTTTCAGTCCGCAGGCCGACGCTCTATCCACTGAGCCAAACCGGTTTCGGCGACGATAATTTCTTAAAAATTAACCCAAGATATAGGACGGAGCTTCCCACCGGATGTCTCACGAGTAGGGTACAGATAATGTACAGTGTTCAGCCCTTGAGGTGCCAGGGAGTAGGAGGAAGTGGGGCCCAAAGTTGTCAAAGTCCAGAGGGTGGGAAACCTCTAGATTAGATCAGGTTCATTCATTAACTCAATGTCCTAGACAGATCTGATCATTTCTCTGTGTCTTCAAAAAGTTTTGGAGGTATTGGATTAGATCATTGTAAAATACAGCTTTTGAATATCTGGTAACAGAATATCCAACCACCACTGAGTTAAAGAAAGGCAGTGTTTTCTGAAATTTTTAACAATTGTGAAATATAACATAAACAGGAAAGTGAATAATACACAAATATACATTCAAATAATTAGGGAGTGACCTCCCATATAACCTCTACCTGGATCAAGATATAGAACATTGAAGCATCCCAGAAAATTATCTTCCCTTCATTTTGACTTTATGGCAGTCTCTCTCTCTCTCTCTCTCTCTCTCTTTTTTTTTTTTGCTTTTCTTTAGAATTTTACTTCCTAACTTTTCATCCTTAATGATATATTTTACCAAAAGTTTTGGTAAAATATATTTTATAGAAAAGGAATCATAATTTCTGTGTTATTTTGTATTTGGCTTAAGTTCATTTTTTGTTCCATTTGTTTGACTTTCATTCATATTCATAGTAATATATCACAGTTTATTCCTACATTCAACATTGATGGACATTTGGCTATCAATGCTTTGGCTATTAGGAACCATGCTGCTGGGAACATTCTTTACAGGTAACTTGGTGCACATTTGGACACATTGATCTAAGTCCTGTACCTAGAACAAAACTACAAAATCATGGGATGTATATTTTCAGTGCCACCAAGTGGTGTCACACTGTTTTCTTTTTAAGTGGTTGTATTAGTAAACCCTACCAGCAGTGAGAATTTATAACAACATTCTCACCAATGCTTGGTGTTATAGGCTTTTTACTTTTATCTATTCTGGTGGGTGTGAACTGCTATATGGTTGTGGTTTTAATTTGCATTTCCCTGATTACAGATGGAATTTAGTACATTTTCATGCATGTTTTAGACAATGGACTTCCTTTTGCGTGTGTGTGAAATGCCGCTTCTTAGTCCCCTTTAAAAAAAAGAAATGTATTGTTTACGTAAATAGGCTACAGGTAGATGCCATCATGGTGGGTGAGTCACTTAATAATGTCACTAAGGACCCAGATGATTCTGCCCCTCTGCTCTGTGATCCGTTGCATGTTGTATTTAGATCCTTATGCTTGTGAACTTAATAACAGCAAGTTAGATGTAAAGGCTCTGCATTCAAAGGCAGGAAGCAGGGGTAGGAACAAGGATCCTCCTGTCAGGTAATGACCTTGTATCCAGAAAACAGATTTTCTCAGCAGCTTCCTAGCCAGCTTTTTCTCACTTCTCAACACCCAGGGGCCACTTTTAGCTCTGGGAGGAGAAGAAGGAGGATGGCTAGGAAAGAGGGTACAGGAAGTGGAAGTGCATGGCTAGCTTAGATGCCAGTCACGACTTCTTTCAGGGCTGAGCACTTTGCTTCCCCCAAACAAATTTGTGATCTGCTAGTTAAAAAGGAGGGGCGTCATAGGCAACCAACAATATCTGATCGAGTGTTTTTGTTTAGAAAGAAAGATAATATTTTCATATTTCGAATATATATGGACTGAGTAGTTTTGATTATTTTGAGCATTATTTCTCTTGTCTTATTCTGTCTTTTAAAAAAATTTTTTAACCTGTTTAGTGATGTGTTCTGTGGATTTTTACTCTGTACCAACCTTACCCGAGCTCCACGTATTGGTCAACTTCAGGGAGAGATCATCCCAACTTCCTTTTATCATCAAGGTCGGGTGATTGACTGCAGGTAACATATTAAATATTGAAAAAACCTAAAGAAACCTGAGAATTACAAATTTAGAAAAATCAAGTGAAATTTTTCTATTTCTTACAAGAGGAATGTTGATTGAGATTTTTATTATCACATTTCATGTTAAGAGTCATTTAAAAACAAAGTTGTATCTAGATTTGCAAATTACATTTGTTCAAAAATTGTACCAGTTATTAGTAGGAGACATTCTTTGTAATTATAATCTGAAGAGTAGAATTATGTTATCTATTTTGACCCACGATTAAAGCTTTAAGCATTTAAGCATTGGAATATGTCACTATTTGAAACACTATGTGTGTTTTATTTTTTATGACCAAAAAAAGCTTAAGCTTTACTTCATTCAGATGTGTCTGATTTAGAAGATGGTTTAATAAGTACTTAATCACTTATAGAAAATATTTATTAAGATATTATTTATAGCTAGAGACAAATGTTTTATATCCAATTACCTATGAGCACAAGACACAGAAAATATGATAATTATTTTTAAAGCCAGGGAGTCATATTATATTCCAAATAATCCTTGTCCCTTCAAAGTAGTCATAATTCTAAGATGCTGTGCTCTCATTCAAATGGTACTGAAAAAGTTGCTTAAAACACTTTTGGGATTCCCCCCTACAGAATTGCCTTCAGCATCTGCAAACTTTTATCCTTGGTATCCCCAGAGGGGCAAACCTTCATCTTATGTGAGTGAATATAAGATCAGGAAACACCCCAAAATTTTTTTGAACAAAATTTAATAAATAGATGGGCAACAAAATTGCATAATGCTGTCTTGGTCAAATGATGGCTGTTTTTCTGTCTTTTAAATGGCTCTGAAGGCAATTATAACAGGATCTTAGACAGCAAGATCCTTCCTGGAATAAGTTTGTTGTCTTCAAATATAGTTTGATGCACACAAGCTTCCTTTGAATCTGTAAGTTTTCACATGTCTCTAGATATAACAGCCTTGTTAAATTATGTTGTTATATTCTAAGTTGGTATATTTGTAAACATTTCAGCAAGGTACTCTATTAGTAATTATAGCATTGACTATTATTCAAATTCAACTTGTTTCTAACTTTAAAATTTTATGAGTCAATATCAATAGAGAGGAACCAGTTTACTTTTTCAATCATGAACAATCCAATCCTCTAAAGTAATAATAATTTCCAAAATGTTTTTCATTTTGCTATTTTTTGCTCAACTTCTGCCTTTTTGTACTGTGACGCATCTGAAAGCCTTGGAGACCTAATGATAAGATTACCTCTCTTATTCACTCCCCTTGTCTCAATGTTGGTCTTGAAAACAAGTGAAGGTTTCGAATACACTTGACATATTTTTCCCTGTGACGTATGGTATAATAGTGATAAGGAAAGGTAGTTTCCTTTACATGCTCTTTTATTAAGGAGAGGTGGGGAAAGGAGGAAAGGAAAAGTGGAGAAATGCTAGGAGAAATCCATGTCCAATCACAGCCTCTTCTGCGTCATAAAGAGCAATAACCTTGTGTGGTGCTAATGACGGTATGAATATCTTTCTCCTCCTAGTGGTGCTCATGTGGTTTTAGATGATGATACAGATGTGGGCTACGTGGAAGATGGAACTCCGTGTGGCCCATCCATGATGTGCTTAGATCGGAAGTGCCTACAGATTCAGGCCCTGAATATGAGCAGCTGCCCACTCGATTCCAAGGGTAAAGTCTGCTCAGGCCATGGGGTAAGTAGGCATCAGTGTTCCAGCTCAAACTTTCATGATCTGGCATCCTTAAAGTTCACAGTGGTTATGCTTCCACTGTAGCCACTCTCCCTCTGAGGCTGTTGCCAATATCTATGCATTGACTCTGATTCTTTTCTTTTTCTTTTTTTGAAAAATACTGTAGTTTTTTATTGATTTCAGGGAGAGGAGGGAAGTGGGATAGAGAGATAGAAACATCAATGAGAGAGAAACTTCATCAGTCGGCTACCACCGGCATGTCCCCTACTGTGGAACGAGCCTGACTGGGAATCGAACTGTGACCTCCTGGTTCATGGGTCAGTGCTCACCCACTGAGCCACACCAGCTGGGCTATGATTATTTTCTTAGTGCACCTGTCTGCTAACAGTAACACCCGTATGCATTGATATGGTGTATTTTATTGTTTCTTTTATCACTGGCTATTTTTATTCACCACATTCTCTAGATATAGTTTAACGGCTAAGGAGCCAGATGAAAATGGATAAGATTTTCTGTAAAGACCCGATGTGATTACCATTTGAAATAAGTTAAACCCTTTCAGTAAGTCCCTTCCAGCTACTCAGCATGCATGCTGGCTATCTATGTATGCCAGGTCATACCAGACTAAAGGTTGGATCACTGATTCACTGATATAATCCACAGGTTTACAGTTCTACGGTTATGTTTGCATCATTGCCAGTCAGAGAGCAGATGCTCCCTCTGCCTGCATATTTCTTTAATTCTGTGGACAAAGTGTTTGGGCAGACACACCTGGCAAACCTAAGCTGAATATCTAAAACGAATCTTAATAATTATTTAAATTTGGCTTAGTAAAAGAAAAGTATTTCAAAATGTATGCAGACCTCAGAAATGGATAAAAGAAACATGAAGAAACTGAGAGCAACAATATAAAAGGAAGATGCTGGAGTGAAGGTAAAAAGAATCCAAAATATAGGTAGCCAAGCAGGTGATGTAGAATCAAACACGATAGAAAGGCCCAAGAAGCATATGCCCAACAATTATGTATCGTTTCAGGTTTGCTTGAACCATAGGCTCACAAAGGAGGCTGTATAGCCTAGTGATCAAGAACATGGATTTGGAGGCGAGAAAGAATCCTGGGTTTGAATCCTGGCTCTGCTTCTTACCCTCCCAGTGACTTTGGGCAAGTCACTTCACCTCTCTCATTTGTCAGGGTGCTAGTGTGAATATAAATGAGATGCTATACATAAAACACTCAGCTTAGGTACCTAGCACATAGTAAATGCTCAGTAATTGCTGCAGAATAAAAGCACTGCACAGAACCTTTCATTATTCAGTTATTGCTTTGTAAGCATTATGAAACTTAATGCATTAAAAGGGCCCTTGACTCTCTACTCTCCTTCCCACTTTTTCATCTTGTTAAAAAAAAGGTCAAATCCAATCTTGTTCATCATAATCACAGTGTTATAACATTTCAGAAGATTAAAAAGCTTCTTACACTAATAGGCTTAAGTTTGATTTGATCGCCTCTAATAATCTGTCTCTGACTGTATTTCACAGGCAGATAAGGGCTTAAACTACTCTGCCTCTAGTTTGCAGATGGTTATTTATTTCATCTAAATGACAAGTCCCTTCCAGCATGCTGCTTGGTCCACAGGGGATGAGAGAGGAGACAATCACTTTCAGAGGGTCTTAGCCTGGCTGACAGAGAGAAGACGGTGGGCAGGCAGGGAAGGTGGGAGGGGTGCTGATTTGGCTGGGAAAGAGCCACCAAATGAATTTGGTGTTGAACGTGGTGAGGTCCTGCAGTGCACTGGTGATTTATGTCTCATGGTCTTTATCTCTGGCTGTGTCTCTTGAGCCCAGTATCTGTTAATTCCTTGAGTTAAGCATACATGTTTCTAAAATATGGTTCTAGAAACAACTACTTATGAAATAAACTACATTGTCAGACCATTTGTGTACTGCTTATGAAATAAGCTACATTGTCAGACATTTGTGTACTTAATATCAACATGAATAATTAACATTTAATTACAATTATTTTTCTTTTCTTTTTTTTGTAATTAACTGACACACTACCATTCAACTATTTGACTCATATATGATTTCCCTTTATCTAATACCTAAAACTGTGGGAGACTTTTAAAAAAATTCCAAATGGCTTTTAAAGTGTCTGCCTGGCCTATGTCTCTTTTACATTTATCACCAGTATATTCTGCAAAGCGCAGTGAAAATGGTCCATCTCTGTTCTTTGTTCTTCACAGGTGTGTAGTAATGAAGCCACCTGCATCTGTGATTTCACCTGGGCGGGAACAGACTGCAGTATCCGGGATCCAGTTAGGAACCTTCATCCCTCCAAGGATGAAGGACCCAAGGGTTTGTGTGATTTCAGTTTCAATTCCCAACACACTGAATTCATTGGTATTCATCATATGGAGCCAATAGAACAACTTAATAGATTCGAAAGGAGACCCATAAGAATATCTCTTTTGCCTGTAAAATGTGTAGCTCATCTTACTGCAGAATTAAGGACTCTAGTATATCACATTGGAAAAATATTTGAGTTATCCCTTAGTCTAGAATTGAGATTAGGAAGAAGTAAATATACCAATTTCCTTTCTTTTCTTTAAACCTCATTCTTTTTTTTTCTTCATAATCGCAAAAATTAATCATTTTATAGTTTGTCTAAGCTATGTCAGTTTTCTAATTGAGAAATCTTTTTGGATGAGACTCTAGTCATTCCTCAGTCCTTGAAAAGTGAAATACATGGAAGTTTTCATCTTCCATGCCGTGTTTTAAGTACACTTTTGATTTAGGAAGAAGTTGGAATTTTTCATGGAACTTAAATTCTTCAAAGAGAACATGAAGAATCTGTACCTTTGTTTTAATCAGCCATTCATTACAACGAGAGAAATTAGAATTTTAGAATTAGAAGGAGAGACTCAGTGACCAAGTAACTACACCACCCTCACTTTGCAGATGAGAGCACCCAGGCCCTGAGGTCAGAAGACATGCTATACTTACCCCAGCAACCAGAGGCAGCGCTGGGACCAGGACCTAGGTGCCCAATATCAGGCCCATTCTCTTCTGTTACGTAATGTTATGATGTGGTCTGTGTCATCCTGAATATGCTAATCACTTTCCCATTATTCTCCCTGTTCCCAACCCATATGATTTTCAAAGACCAAGAAAAGTCATCAGTTGCAATAGGCGTACGGTAGCACCTACAGCACTGTACATACCTGAGAAACCAAGGAGTCACTAGAATAAAGGGTGTCTCCCAAAGACATTGTACATCAGGTTCTTTCTCATGGTACTGCTAACAGTCTTATAAATAACGATCATGCCTTTTTCCTGCAGGTAGGAAAAACACATATAGAAATAATGTCATTTTGATCTGCTTAGTTTGGGATAAAAGCTCATTTAAAGTCTCTGAATGTCGTTATTGCTCATATGGGGAAAATACAACTTCAAAAGCATATGAAGCTCTATAGCCCTCAATTTCTGAAGAGATTTAGGCTGATTCAAGTGCACGCTTAACATTCAGTAATAGTGGGTGTATTAAAATACTTTTCATACATTTGCTTAATATGCCCATGATATTAAAATGTGATAATCGTAATCACACCCTCACAGTCTATTTCTGTTCTTCGTCTATTACTAAAAAGGAGCCAATTCCACTTTTACATGCAGTCTTTTGTTACTTGGAAACTTAAACAAAGAAATTCTTAGATCCACCTTCAGAAGTTAGAAGTAGAGAAGACTTAGACTCTGACAAGAGATGCAGAGGTTCCTTTTTTCCAGATTTTCTCTCCATAGCATCCTTGTGATTCTCTTAAAGATCTAGCTGCTCTTCCTCCAGGAAAGTATAAAATAAACCTGCCTGCGCAGAGGAGCAGGGTTCAGTTGCCTTAGGCTCTGCCTTATCATTAGGTAGCGTAAGGGATTATTAACTGCCTGACTCTACTCCTCATTCCTGCACCCGCCCAGACCTAGAAAACTGAATTGGAGGCATGAAGTGAACAGTTCCATTCTAGAGAAGAAGATACTCACAGCAGTATTTGTTTTGTTTCTTCGTATTTAATGCGGTGCTATTCTACGTTATCTTTAAAGATAACCTTTTTGATCATTCAAATAATACATGTTTATTGTAGAAAATTTTGAAAATATAGAAAAGATAAAAAGAAAGTAAAAATCACTCTTCATTCCACAACTCAGAGATGATCAACAGAAGCATTCTGGCATATTTTGTTCCTGTTGTATTCCCCCCCCCATTCTTAATGAAGTCAGTGGAGTCATTAGAGTAAGGGTAACATAACCATGGGTCCTAAAATTGTTAAAATTCTTGTGATCTCTAATAATCTTCATTAAACCGAAAAAAAAGCCAGTAATTGATATATATGAAGAACAGTTATTATTAGATTTCCAGAAAAGTCAAACAATAATAGTACACTAAATAATAGCTTTATATTTATTTATATCTTTTTCAGCCTCTATAGAAAAATCAGCTGATATACTAGTAAAATGGGGGAATAACAGAAATCAAAACTATAACACTTTGTTGTAGGCTTTATGATTTTATTTTTGATATTCTGGTTCAGAGAAGATGATGAGAGAGAAACTATATATTTATATTTTTATCCAGATAGCAAATATTTATTGAGTGTCAACTATTTAAAAGACAAGCACATCCTTGGCCCATAGTAGGCACTCATTAAGTGTTAGATCCCTTCCTTTTGGGAATATGTAAAATAAATGAAATGCTCCATAGTAGCGCTGATTTCCAGTTTAGCAGTACCCATGTGTTATATTGCCTTGAGAAAGAGTAATGGGTAATGAACTCAAGATCTGTTAAAACAGTACTTTCTTTTAAAAAAAATTCTATATAAGAGTTTATTTTATCCAAACTGATGACCATTGCCAGGAAGCAAGATCTCTAATGCTTCCTCCAATCATTACTTTCTTAACTGTGGGTTCAGCAGCTGTGTGAGGAGCTAAAGGTTTTTCTCCATAGCTGAATGCTGAATATTCTTTCTCAAGATTGAATTGGTTTGACTGGCACTTGCTTTACTGACTCTTGTGTTTGGGTCCTCTCCAAATGCTTGCCATATACAGCGAGCAGCACCCACAATAATCAGGCCGGTCATATCCATTAGATGAAGGATTTTCTGTATAGATACAGTGAGACAGAATTAAAAAATACTTAGTTTTATCTAATTTCATTGTACTTCCTTGTTATGGAGGGGGGAAAATCAAGAAGCAAATTGAAACTATTGCCTTTTTTAAAAAAAAATCATGAACACTGGCATAAAAGAGTTGTACCCAACTACAGCCCTTTGGATCAAGACCAAATTAGTAAAAATATAGGTGAACTCTGTGATGGTTTCTATTGAATGGAGGCTGTCAGAAAGGAACCAATGTGTTTTGGATATTTCTTTCATTTTAATTACAAATTCCTGGAAGAATTAAAAACTGAACCTCCCCATCTGGGTAGGAACTAAAAACACAGATAAAAGTATTGCCATTGCAGTCACTCTGCACCAACTAACATTGTCCACTTTCACCCGCTGATTAAAGAATGCTAAATAATTTATTCCAACTTGTCAAATAAAAGGTATTAAAAGGGAAGAGATGGGATCTCAAAGCAAAAGCAATGTGAACAAGGATTTTTAAAAAAGGTTTTCCATTACATATCACTTTATTGTTGTTATTATTTTTGCATTGCTATTTATTTTACACACAAAGATTCTTCTGGGCCCTCTCTCCCAGCTTGTTTCCACTGAACTCACTGGAAGATATTATTCTAGTTTGTTCTGCTAGGGTAGCATACATTTGAACTGTGTTTAAGGGACCTAGGGTTCCCACCTGCTGTGGGGAGAGCCAAGTCAAGTACCCATACTTTTTGTTGATTTGTAGGCATTTTTGCATGGTGCTGATTACGGAATACAATGGGACTTTTCTCATTGGCTGGTTTACATCACCATTATAGGAGGGAAGAGAGGATACTGGACCCTGTCACATATTTTCATTGACATGGAAGGACAGAGCCTTCCTGGGAGTGTTGTTCAGACCCTCCCATCTTGACCATAGTCATCAAATCAGAGATAAAAAGGCCTTGGTGGCAGTTTAGTGCAGACCCATTATTTTACAGATGAGAAAACTAACTTAACTATCAGGGTTACCACAGAGTTAGGGGCAGAGCCAGGAATAAAACGTCGATGACCTGATCTTGAGCCCAGGGCGTTTTCTGTTATTGCACACCGCCTCATTTAAAGTGGAGTATGTATTAACTTATTATGCTGGTTCTTATAGCACAGGAATAAGTAGAAAGGGTGAAACAATAACCAGGTAATGATTAAGCTTAGCTGACCCAGTACGTACTAGCATTTAGTATTTTGAAAACAATAATTTATGTCTTAATAGGTTGAGGAGTGTTAGTTAATGTTTACTTTACCTTTTGCATATGTCTTTTTAAAAGCTGAGTTTCTTTGTGAGTGTACAAATCTGTGATTTTTATATGAGATGTTATGGTTATCATATATGATTATGCTCACATGTATTTATATCTCACTTAGGTATATTTTCCACTAACAATAGCCTCATCATTAACATAAGGGTTTACCAAATTTTAAAATTTTTCAATATATGAGTTCATTTTGTTTGGAAAAATGCCATGATATTGTTATTGACAGCTAAACTGACTGAATTAATATTCTTATATAAAATAATTTATTTTTCATTCCTTTAGATATTTGTCCCTGTGTACCCCCAAATGAACTTTTTATTATTATTATTTCATGGAAAAGAGTAAGAAGATCTGAGTGTATGTCTGACATACTGAAATATGGAGCTAGATAAAATATCTATTTGTCATGCCAATATGATACTCTAAAGTATAAAGAGTACATTTAGTATTTATTTCTAATCTTAAATTTAGGAAAATGATGAAGAAAGAACTTTGGTCCATAGAGTATAAAGATGGCTTTGATGCCTCCTGTCTGTTCAGTATTAAGGGATGAAGGATTATAACACCTTTTGGCTCATTGGAATCATCTGTACTAAATAATGCACCTTTTTGTTTCAGAAACTCTCTAAAAGTAAGAAAAGAAAAACACCAACCACTCAGTTTTTAAAACACAGTCAAAAATGTCTGAAGCATGCCCTATCTGTGGAAGACTTCTGCATATCAAATAGAAATTCTTTAAAAAATGAGAAAGTTCATAGTTTTGTTCTCGATACTATACACTTCTCAAAAATTCCACCTTTTAGCACATATGAACCTAGGTAGCAGGGGCCAAGATGAAAAGTGATAATAATAAACCCACAAACAACAGAAATAAATAAGCAAAAATGAAAACATACTGCTAGGTAATAAA